TTCCACAATTTCAAAATCTCTAAATCTCTAAAAACAGTGATTTTTTTTTCCATAACTTTGGTGCCAAAATTAATCTGTAAGCAAAACTTAACCTAAATTGATGTGAAGCCATTTATAACTTTTATTCAATTAGTGTGAATGTGATACGAGTGTGTTTGATTACAGGGTACTCTCCCATGCCCTACTAGGGGTGTTATATAATAAGCAGCACATATGCTGCACTGCCTTTCCATAATCAAAAAAAAATCCAAATTCTGAAATATATTTACACGTAAGGGTGCACAATAAGGAACTACAGACCTGGATTTCCTCTTATTTTAAAGGTGATTTTGCTAGTAAGCCTTCAGGAAAAGGCGCACACACACGTGCATATACCAATTAAGCTACAATTTCTGTAGGGGTGTAAGACATTGTGCATTTCCCATACCTTATCTCTAATTGTCAGCTGAAAAGTAGGTGTCACTATCCTCAATTTACAAATAAAGAAACTAAAGCAAAAAAAGTTTAACTATTTTGCCCAACTATCAACAAATGAAAGATAAAATTATTTTCATTTCTAAGTCTTTTTAAAATTTCAGGGTTCTGTCTAGAGATAATTTCAGATAATGTAAAGTTGCTTCTTTTAAAATATTCACTTTGTTCACAGAGAAAGTGGTCAAGGTTCAGGCCATTTTAACCGACAGCATCATTCTAAAACTTCTGGGCCTAAATCTACATGGGCCTTCACAAAAGAAACAAACTTGGCAATAAGGAAAACAAATTATTTTAACTCAAACAAAAACTTTTTTTTATGATAGTTGGAAAGGAGGGAGAAGAATCTGAGAAACTGAAGCAGGCACAATCTAGCCTGAGACTAATACTACCACATTTAGTTAACCGTAACATTTCTTTTGTATAATTATTAATAGCCAAATTGTTGGAGAAAAAGAAAAACTCTAAGAGTCATGTTCTCATTTCAAATTATAGTATTTAAAAGAAAAAAAACTTCCTTTCGCAAATCTGACCATCTTACAGGGCTATCTGCATGCCTGAAAAAAAAAACATCCTAAGTGTCCCTTCACTCTTCAAGAAATTCCTCAAAATCCACCTCATACAGAGACTCCTCCCATGACACAGTTCAGCTAACAATTGTACATTCACCAAGCTTGGCCTCTGCCTCGCTCCTGACAGGAAATCAATTATGCTAATGGAGAAAAATGAAAAAAAGTCTTATTTTAATCATTGTATGTTTAAAGCTTGCATTTACATGTAAAATATATGTAATACATTTGAATTTTTTATATTCAAGCTTCAGGGGAATTAAAGAAACACCATGTATTTGGCTCTTCAGATACATTATCTCTAGTATTCAGTTATCCTGAAAATATCATCCCCATTTCACAGATGAGGAAACTGAAGATCAGAAAATTTGAATCCAAGATTCATATCTAATAAGTCATAGAAACAGGATTTTAAAAAGGATCTTTCCGCTCCACCTTGCTAATGTATGCTTAGCTTAGAATATTTCCAATAGGGCAGGAATCTTCATCATGGCATTATTTCTGCTGTATGTAACATGTTGCAATACAAACAGAAGCCCAAATAATGAATCTAGATAATGTTAAAATAGCCAAAAAACGACAATCTTACACTAATTATTTGCAGATTGAGCAAGTTGTTTAACTTCTCTGTGCCAAAACTTCACATATTAAATAAAGATAATACCTTAGAGAGTAGTTACAATGCTGAAGTGAATTAAAACATTTAAAGCACTTAGTACAATGTCTGGCACATAATAAACACTTCAGAAATGTTAGCTATTGCTCTTGAGATAAGAAATCACCAAACAGACATATTTTGTACCAGGTAACTCTAGCCAGCAATAGCTGGACACCTAATTCAAAGTCAATCCTACACCTCTTTGTAATCTGTGACATGATTTGGTGGGAAAAGATGATGTGTGTCAATCAGATTCTCTCACTTGGGATTCTGAATTAAAAAAAGAAGATTGAGCCAGTTAACAGAAGTTAAATAGTCTGGCTCCTACCTTCACCAATTTTCTTTTATCAAGGTTATTAATAATGTTAAATATGTTGCTAAATCTATTTTCTCAGTCTTCCTTCTTGTATTCAAGCTGATGAATATGCCACTTATCTTTTCTATTGAAGTATAGTTGATTTAGAATGTTCCAGGTGTACAGTAAAGTGATTCAGTTATACGTATGTATGTATGTATATATAATTCTATTTTTTTCACATTTTTTTCATTACAGATTGTTATGAGATACTGAATATAATTCCCTGTGCTATACAGTAGGTTCTTGTTATCTATTTTAGATACTGTAGTGTGTTTCTGTTAATCCCAAACTCCTAATTTATTTCTCCTCCCTTTCTCCTTTAGTAACCATAAGTTTGTTTTCTGTCGGTGAGTCTATTTCTGTTTTGTAAATAAGTTCATTTGTACCATTTTTTTAGATTCCACATATAAGTGATATATGGTATTTGTCTTTCTATTTCTGGCTTAGTATGATAATCTCTAGGTCCATCCATGTTGCTGCAAATGGCATTATTTCATTCTTTTTTATGGCTAAGTAATAGATATAGATATAGATATAGATATAGATATAGATATAGATATAGATATAGATATAGATATAGATATATACCACATCATCTTTATTCATTCATCTGTTGATGGACATTTAGGTTGCTTCCTTGTCTTGGCTATTGTAAATACTGCTGCTATGAACACTGGGGTGCACGTACCTTGAAATATTCTTTTGGATGTCCTTTTTTCTCCCTGGTTGAAACTTCTCAGTCTCATTGGAAGGCACTGAAATACTGCCACTACTCAAAACTTCATCCCAGGCTTCTTCTGCCCACACTCTTAACTCTCTAAGCAATTTCATCCACACTTACGGCTTCAGCAATTAACTCCACGCTACCTCAGACTTTCTTGTAAATTCAACTGCTTTGTCAATCTCTCCACTTATTTGGTTGTCTTAAAAGATACCTCAGGTTCCACATGTCCAAAATCAAACTCATGATCTTCCCTATCAAATCTAGCCAAGATCCCCTCTAGGATTCTCTGTCTCCATAATGGCACCCCCAACTATTCAGTTGCACAAATTAAAAATTAGAAGTACACTTTTATACATCCTTCTCCCACATTCCCATCTTTTACTAAGTCCTATTAATTATGTCTCTTAAATATTTCCCAACTCCTTCTCTACATTTTAGAATTTTTGACCAATTCTTATCTTGGCCTCCAAGGCCCTGCAAGATCTGCTTCAGTTTACCTCTTTTCTCCTCCTGTTATCCTACATGCAGCCTCACTCGTCTCCTTTCAGTTCCTCAGGGAAAGCTCCTTGAACATCTAGATTATATCAGGTCACTCATCATTCACTTAACAAATATTTGTTAGTAACTTAACTCTATACCAGGTATGGCTCTAGACATGTGGGATTGATAAACACGATAAAGATCCTTGCCTTCATGGAGCTTACACTGTAGAAGAGGAAGACGGGCAATAAGCAATAAAAATAATAAGCAGATTAAATAATATGTGTGAAGGCTGTAAGTATACGGGAGGGAAGAAAAGAAAAAAAATAAGGTAAGAAAATCACAAGCAGGGAGTTTTCAGTGCTTAACTTGATGCCTGGCATACAGTTGGCACTCAAATATGTGCTGAGTAGATGTATAACGAGAGGAATGAGCGTGTTCAAATTGAGGGAGCTTCAACTATCAAATGAGTAGAGGAACTACATGGTGGAAGAAACAGAGATGCTCTGAAAGAAAGAAACCATGCAGGTCTTGAGAGATAATGGTCTCTTGAACCACTGTTGATGGCTCCGTACAGTTTCCAGTTCCAGGCACCTGTACGGTCTTACCAGAACCACCACCTACCTCTCCCATCTCCAAGGGCTGGATAATTTAAGTGGGTCACTCTTGTGACCAAAATACCTAATCAGGACACATACACAAGATTATGTATACCACTTGCATCACCCACTACCACACACATCCCCAAAGCCACTGCTTTTCTACACACACACACACACACACACACATACACACACACACAGATGTCACTTTGATGCCCCAGTTCTTCAGAGCTGGGCTCCTTTTAGGGACAAACTCCCTCCCATATACACAGGACTGTAAAAAACCCTTGCTCCCTTCTATGATCCTGTAAGACCCTTAGGTCACTATCTCTCCAAGCCCAGCCATACTCACAAGGGAGTTCCTTCAGGAACAGGACCCTAGGCCTTCCTTTCTGTCAGTCTCCCAGCACTTTAAAGACTACCCTCCACCCACAGATAGAATATGCACCCTCTGTGATTCTGAATGACCTTCAAGATCACTGATCGCACATACACTCATACTCAGGCACAAGCCTCTCTTGGTAGGGTACTAAAGGAATGGGACTCTGGGTGTCCCCTCAAGCCTCTTGTCCTTTTAGGGACTCATATTAGGATTTGTATACTTTCTCTGTGACCAGGGTGACTCTGAGGCACCACACTTCCCCAAAGCACACTCATACATCCCCATTCCATGACACTGCCTGATACTAAAGTAACACTCCTTCTACTTACACCTGCCTCCTCAGAATCAGAGCCCCTCTCCCCTAAACCATGCCCCTTTAGGGAACCCTCCCATATTCCCAGAGGATTGTGTACACCCTCTCCATGACGCAGCCTATCCCTACAATCAGACCCCATCACAGGTGCCCCTCAGGAGGGGAGTCCTGCGTCTTCCCTGAGGTCGCAGCCGTTCCTGGGCAAAGGCTCTGTCAGGAGTGTGCACATAACATACCACTGCGACGCCGGGACTCCGGAGTCCCTGCTGCCACTCAAAGGGGTACGCTCCTCCCTTGACCCCCGACCCCGAGGTCAGAGCCCTACCGCGCAAACACGCAAGGCGCCTCCTCAGGAGTAGCGCCATGCCCAAGTCCGCCGTCCCCTCAGGCCCAGGACAGCCGCGCTGCCTCAGCGCTTCCCCTGTTCGACCGCCCCCACAGACCTGCCTCAGGCGCCGTCTGGCTCCGCTCCGCCATTTTTTGTTGTCCCTCTGCCTCTGAGCCCACGCGAAAATCGCCGGGCAATGGAGAGCGGGCGATGGGATCCGCGGGCTGACAGGAACTCCCTCAGGAAGACGCGGCACGACGGTTGCCAGGGCAACGGGCGGCCGGCGTGCGGGTGGCCGGCGCGTGGCGGGGG